AGAGAGCAAGGCAAAGGAGAGAAGCATTAAAATACTGGCAAGCTCCAAAGCTCAACTGGAAGAGAAACTTTGTCAGGAAAACACCAAAGACACAGAACCATCCAAGCAGGATGGAAATGCCCTGCAATACCATGATGCTGCAGTGAACACTGAACACATGCAAGCAAATACATTTAAGGAGGCCTATGACAAGTGCATCAATGTTAATATTCCAATTGCCACAGAATCTGTAGGGTGTGGTACCTATGGAGTGGACAATGTGAACTTGCAGGTTAAGGAGTTAAGAAGAATCCCTGTTCACAGAGATCAGGGGTTGGTAGATGTTCACACTGGTGTCAGTGAGAAACAGGCTGCATCTCTTGGCAAACAGAAAGGAACTGGAACCAACACTGAGCCTCCTGTCTTTATACCATGCTTCACTGAGTTGAAGATAGATGAGCAAATCAACAAGGACTGTCAAAATCAAAGAAACAGCTATGATAGACAGTCTTGTGCTGCTAGCTCTCCAATTGGAGAGAGCTGTTCAAGAACAGGAAAAGCTGACTCGAATGGAAATAAACCAGGGGGAAATAAACCAGTTTTTGCAGAGGGTGTAAAGCAAGATCTGATTGAGGAGGAAAACCATACAGAACAACAAGATTCCTCTGCAAATGACCCAATAGGCCAATATGTTAAAAAAATCCAGGAGCTTTTGCAAGAGCAGTGGATGTGCTTGGAGCATGGATATCCAGAGTTAGCAAGTGCTATTAAACAGCCAGCATCAAAGCTTAGCTCCATCCAGAATCAGATAGTTAATTCCTTAAACTTGCTTTTGTCTGCCTATACTACCCACGCACCATCAGATAAGGAGAATTTGAACACACAGTATCAGCAGTTGGGTAAATAGTCCAAAAGTATCCTGGCTGATTCTCTTCTCACTTGCACCCACATCAATCAGGAGTAACTCTGCTGAAGTCAGTCGTGTTACATCGAAGTAGAGCCAGTGTCAGTGAGATCAGAAACAGGCTTGTTGTGTGTCCTCAAGTATAGATGAGAGGCATAATCCATATAGCATGGTGCAAGACCTGAAGTTATGTACACAAACTTCTCAAAAGTTCCCTTTTGCTACTGAGAGGGACTGATCTATCAAGTAAAGCTGCTCATCACTTTTCTTAACTGGGTTTTATGATGCTGAACTTCATTAGTGCTCACAGGGTCAGATCCTTACCTGGTGTAAACCAGTATTAACTTCAATGGAACAAAGCCAGTTCACACCAGGATCTCAATCATGGCATTTTAAAATGAATAGTCTACCTCAAAGGAGGCTATTTTATTCTTTTGGGGCCTGATCCTCATTTACATTAAGTCTGCTCTACGCTGCCAGACAGTGTAAGGGGGTCTTAGTGTAACAGAGTCCAACCTCTCTATTTTCAAGTAATGTAATATGAGAGCATGTGAATTCTGGTGCAGTAATTCATTTTTGTAGTTATAGGAGGCTGACACTAACAGTTTTACCTAGGACATGATGCATGAATTTCAATGACAACATCAATATCCAAAGTGCAAAAAGACCTAGTTAAGGTGTTGTGGAACAATATTATACCAGTAAGCATATGTACAGTATATTAGGATAACATTCAGCTACTTATCAATCATTTATAGATGTGTTTCAGATCTCTGTCCAATTTTAATGGTTGCAGCCCATCTTTAGACCATAGATAGCTGTCTCTACAGTTCTATAAGGTCCTTCATAAATAGAGCCCTGCATGGATACAAAATTGGTATCCTCATCTGCATCTGCAAAAATGATCCATGGATATCCATATCCAGCTCCACAGATACCCATGGATATAAAGCGGATATCTACAAATTTGTATCCACATCTGTATTAGATAAAAAAATTTGTATCCACATCTGTATTCACAAAAATGAGCCATGGATAGAAAGTGGATATCTGTGGAATTGCAGGGATCTATTAATAAGGTAACCTTTTATCCCTTCTTCAATCTAATATTGATAACTTTGCAGTAAAGACAAGATACCTAGATAAGTGTGACATAATTGTGCTTATGGTCTGTAGTTTGTTATACAATAAATTGGAAACTGCTAATCAACCGTTATAACATAAATACTTCCTTAATCTGTGATTTTGTATTTTGATAGAAATCTCTCCAACCACAAGTCTTAAATCAATCATGAAAAAGAAAGGTTATGGTTTCCATGCAGGAGGTAATGGGACCAAAAAGAATCTTCAGTTTGTTGGGGTAAATGGTGGGTAAGCATCAGTTAAGATGATAAAACTGTTTTTTCCCCATATTATCCTCATCTGTCTCTCTTAGGAAATAAGATTTCTCCCTCATCTTTAATTAAAAGGCCTTTTGCAATGTCACTTCTTTTATTCCTTCCTTCAATCTAATATTGATAACTTTGTAGTAAACCCTGATGGGAAGGACTGAGACATCAGTTCTTTACAGCAATGATGAATGGTACTGGACTGACATCCTTGAAGTCTGAAATCCTCTTCACACAAGTCATATAGGGCTTGCTCCAAATCCTCACAGTCAATGGGAACCTTTCCATTAATTTCAATGGGCCTTGTAACACGTCTGTATTGCACAAGCAGCTATATTGCAAACTGCCACACCCTGCCAGCAAAAGTGCCTCAGTATCGGCCTAGGAGTTCTGAGCCTATTCTGTCCTTGGTCTCTCTATAATGACATCCAACAAAGTGGGGGATTATGTGGATGCTTGTTCACTAAGAACTAAACAGAGACCAGCAAATGGAATACCTTTTCGTTATTATCTGCTTGTAAACTTGGAGTCAGATCCAATTCCTGCTCAAGTAACTGGAGAGTTCTTCAGTTGATTGCAGTGAGAGAAGGATGAAGCACTACACTAGCAGAGGAGTCAGGTAGTTAAAGGAAGGATGGTCTAACTATTGAGCCATTCAGTTGGGACCTGAGGGATCCAGGTTTAATTCTCTGCACTGTCATAGATTTCTTTTGTGCTCTTGGGCAAGTCAGTTGGTCAGTCTCAGTTCTGCAACTATAAAATGGGAATAGTACTTTCCTACCTGCAAGGGATGTTTTGAGGATAACTAGATTAGAAGAGTCACAGGGATTCTGATTCTACATTATTAGAGGGCCCATGAATATATGAGATAGAAATAGGAATATGGAAATTTTCCATTACACCATGATCTAATCTAATTTGCACTTAGCAAAATTCATGACCATCTTAAGAGGAATGCATTGATGAACTTAGCTGAGTTTCTTGTGAACCTCTCAAGTCGGTATAAATTAACATCTCAACAGAGAGGCCAAGGATTGAATGGAGACAGAATGTCATCTTACCCTAGAAATGGTCTTTCTGGGCAAGGTCTGTGGCACATTGTTGGGGCAGCTTGATGGAATCTTCCCTCTTTGCCACCTGTTCTGTTGATCAGTTGACACCAGTTTCCAGTATCAGCCCCCGGAAGCTTTCAGGAGCACTTAAAAGTAAGCGCTCCTTTGCAAATGAATAAAATTAATGAAGGGATGCATTGGGGTTGCTCTAGAAGGGATATAAAAATTTGTATGTATGCAAATTGTCACCTTAGCGAGATAAATTAAAGATCAGTTATGGGGAGAGTTGCTGCTTAATTAGACAATTATCAAAAGCCATGCTCTTAAAGATTTAAATTATAACGTTGTATATTTAATAGATGAATGTTTATAGTTATGAATCCTTATCTAATAGCAGTGTTATCTCATGGGCCTTATAAGTGCAAAGTAGAATCAAACTATGAAGAGAATATTGTTATTTTCAGATATGTGCTGAGATCTACCAACTGTTCTTCAGGCTTTTTGCTTCCAACAGTGGCAATAATCGGATAATTTGTTCAAATGAACTGCAAATGAAATATACTATAATTAGAAGTGTCCAATGCATTAATAATGTCACCATGGGCCAAGTTTTCAAAAATAGCTTCTTAAGTTGCACCCACAAAATACATAAATGTGGAAACACTTCAGTCCCTGTTTATAAACCTAGGAGTTCTAATTTACATCTTACCTATGAAAAGGTGTGTGTGAGTGATAGCTGAGTATTATAACTGTTTTAAAAAAGGGATCACCTAAGGCACAATTACAAAAAATGCCAATAGCATGACTTAGTTAAAGACTTCCTCCGCTGCTTTTATTTATGCTGAAAAATTTACATTTTCACATTAGTGGGCATGGACATGTATGTGAAGTTTTCTCCCTCCCTGCACTTATATGTGGTGCCATTTACTCCAGAAGTCACTACAGTTCAGTGGCTGAGATGCTGCTGATGCTGAGTTTCACAGGCAGTCACTAAAATCAATGGGATTACTTATGGAGTGAGGTGGCACTGAATATAAGTAAAGATATCAGAAACCAAGCTTCAATCTGTGAAACATGTTAGGATACTTTGAAGTAAAAGGCGCCACGTGTATGTAACCTATTAACACCATTACTCTTAAATTAGGCAGGGTAGAGTTCTCTATAGAAAGATATTCCTTATCCCTAATTTTAGCAGCAAATGTTACCTAGGAAGGTGGTGGGATCTCCATCCCTAGAGGTTTTTAAGTCCTGGCTTGACAAAGCCCTGGCTGGGATGATTTAGCTGGGGTTGGTCCTGCTTTTGGACAGGGGGTTGGACTTGATGAGACTGCCTCAGGAGGTCTCTTCCAACCCTATGATTCTACAGCACTTCTACTGGCCTGGGAAACAAGGGGGAGGGATAGCTCAGTGGTTTGAGTATTGAATCCAGGGTTGTGAGTTCAATCCTTGCGGAGGCCCTTTGGGGCAAAAATTTGTCAGGGATGGTACTTGGTCCTGCTGTGAAGGTGGGGGACTGGACTCAATGACCTTTCAAGGTCCCTTTCAGCTCTAGGAGATAGGCAATCTCCATTAATTTAAAGATTAGAAATAGAACCTAGAGTTTCTGAATAATAGGTTTGAACCTCAAAGTTTGGGCCTGGAGCTAAGGTTTTGGTTTGGTGCCAATCTCTTATATTGACATTAGTTTTACTGTGTCTAACATGCATGTCACTAGGGGCCTCACCCCAGGCTCATTGGAGTCAGTGGGTGTCTTCAATGGGTATTGGCATAGGCCCTAGAATTGCTAAGGGGGAAGGAAAAGTGAATAATATCTGGTGTCCTCAATTAGTTATGAAACGACGTCAAGTGAAGACACAAGCGGTGAAGACGGCTCTTCAGAAGGAAATTCTGACAGCGAGATGGAGAGGAAGTATGACACCTTTGAGCACAGACAGGTGAAAGCTGCCAGTGAAAACACACATGCCTCAACTGGAGTCTCCCAGTGCACTAGACATGAAGACAATGAGCCACAGGAAGTAGAAGAAATAACAATGGCTAGCACTCCACACAAGACAGACAGGTAATCAGATAAACAGGTTAATGTACCATATTGGCAACACTGAATAATGAATAATGGCAAATTGTAATTTTTGGTTCCACGTTTCAGTGAATGACTGCAGCCATTCTGTTAACAGCCAAGTTATTACAGGTTGAACATCTCTAGTCCGGCACTCTCTGGTCCGGCAACATCCATGGTTCAACATGATTTCAGTTAGCTGGATGTCCACTTATGTGTATGGCCAAGTTTCCTGCTGTCCCATAAAGTTTGTTTACAACCACCAGTCCTGGCTCTCAGTGTTCTGTGTTGTTATTTTGCTCTAATTTACCCCTAATTGTCTTCTAAGAGGCCAGTAAGCAGTAGAAGCGTTGGTAATGCTGATAGGCAATACTGACTTCCTGTGGTTCAGCAAATTCTCTGGTTCGGCACTGGTCAGATCCTGAGGGTGCTGGACTACAGGGGTTCAACCTGTAATATTGTTTTGAAAGAAAGAAGCAATATATGTGACTGATTCTGAGTCATGGAGTACCTGTGTGGCTAGGTTATCATAATGATGCAGATACAGTAGGATAATGTTGCTGGACCCATGGCTTTGTCTTAACTTCTCATTTAATTAAAATTTTTAGAGAGATCCGTGCTTTTCATGGAAAAATAACTGAAATTAAAATTACTAAACCAGAGCTTTCGGTCCTTACATTTTTCTTTGCAAAAAGCATGTTACAATTGCACATTTGTCATATGTGCCAATTTTCAAACTGCATACTTGGATATTAGATTAGCATATTCATATTGTGAAAAATCATCATAACAGGAATTTCTGTATCATACACTGCTCTTTGTGTTCCATAAGGGGTTTTGAGTTGGAGCTGTCCACTCATCATCACAACCTGTCATGTATTGGTTTAGGGCAAGATGCAACATCAGTTGAAGTCAATGAAAAAAAATCCATTGACCGATGGGAGCACTTGATCAGGCTTTAAACAGCTATATATTTTCTTCACATTCATGCAAAATCTAAAATTTCTCATTTTCTAATTCTGTCCTAACAGACATTCAATTTTTGCTATAGTGGATTTCTTATAAGATCCAAGAATAAAATTGATTTTCCATGAATTTTTTTGAAAGTGGTGATTGCAAATATAAAAGACATTTGGTTGCCTATGTTAAGTGTATTATCTATGGCTCTGGTCCTATATACTCTTATGCATATGCTTAACTTTATGCCCACAAAGTCAGGTAAAAACATGAATAATTGTTTGCAGCATTGGGGCCTAAAGATACTGGGTGCATCTAGACTGGCTAGATTTTGCGCAAAAGCAACTGCTTTTGCACAAAAACTTGCCAGCTGTCTACACTGGCTGCTTGAATTTGCGGAAGAGCACTGACGTTCTAATGTAAGAATTCAGTGCTTCTTGTGCAAATACTTTGATGCTCCTGCTCAGGGATAAGCCCTCTTGCGCAAGAATACTTGGGCAAGAGGGCCAGTGTAGACAGGCACCTTAATTTTTTGTGCAAGAAAGCCCGACGGCCAAAATGGCCATTGGAGATTTCTTGCGCGAAAGCGCATCTATACTGGGCGTGGATGCTTTTGCGCAAAAGCATCTGTGCCAATCTAGACGCTCTTTTGCGGAAATACTTTTAACGGAAAAACTTTTCAGTTAAAAGTATTTCCGCAAAATCATGCCAGTCTAGACTCAGCCACAGACTTTATCTGCAAGTTATCCTTCCAGTTCAGATCATGCTAGTTCTCTCTTACAATGGATTTATGAGTGTTTTCCTTTTTAGATGCAAACCCTCAGAAGATTTTCTTGATGGTTGCCTGTTGTTGAGCAAACACCTTTCAGAAATAAGGACCACCAATGACAAATATTTGGTATTGGTATTTTTCAGTCGAATTTAAAATGCAGCCACTCTGTAGTGTTTAGATTAGTGGTGGGCTGCCTGTGGCCTGCAGGCAACGTGTGGCCCATTGGAGCGCTATGTGTGGCCTGAAAGACATTTTGCAATATGCAGGGTTGCCAGATTCTGCTGGTTTCCACCTGCTAAGTTTTATTCCTACCAGTATTACTACAATGGCACACACGTAAAGCAAGGGCAAGTGAAGTGAAGTGTGTGCTGATTGCATACAACATTGACTGTGAGAACCTGCGCTCCCTCTGTATCCTGTCAAAGAGCTGCTATGGTTTAGTCATCACTAAGGTTGCCAGGTGTCTGGTTTTCTACCGGACAGTTGGTATTTGCGCCCTCTGTTGGGTAGAAAATTTCAGAAAATACCAGACACGTGCAATGTCTGGTATTTTCTGAATTTCCAGCTGGGTGCTGGACGGAAGCCTGGCGGGGACAGGGGAGTGACTGGGAGGCGGGGTCGTGATTGGTGCTGGGAGCCCCATGGTTGCGTGCAATAGCCAGGCGGGGTGGGGAGTGGCTGGGACTCCCCCCCCCCCCCCCCCCCCCCCGCCGCCCCGCCCATTGTCTTGGGCAGCCACAGGTAGGCCCTCATTGGGCTGTAAGACTGGCCGGAATGCTGCCCCTAAAAATGTGCCGCCCCAAGCACATGCTTGGTTTGCTGGTGCCTAGAGCTGGCCCTGGGCGGGGCCATGCATGCGCCAAGCTCTGGGGGCAGCACTAGGCGGGCACACAGAAATGTCCCAGCGGGCGCCATGGCGCCCACGGGCACCATGCTGGGGACCACTGTTCTACAGTATCTGCAAATTTTGCCGTCTCCCTATTTACCGCCTTTTTATAAATTTAACAATACTGGTCTAAATGTAAATCCCAGCAGCAAAACCCACATTCTCTTCCCACCACCCCATCTTCTAAGTGGAGTACCTGACAATGTTTTTGTGATGATCTAAGGATCCTTCAATTACTTGAATGACCCTCCCACCCCCTTCCTCCCAGCCAGCCCTGCAGCCCCTGCCAGCCTTGCCTCCTGCCCCCCTTCCTCCTGGCCAGCCCTGCCCCTCTCCCGGCCGGTTCCTCCCCCACCCCACAATCAAGTATGTCTGGTATTTTGGGTGGGGTCTACCTGGTAACCCTAGTCATCACACTCCGCAAATTCTAGGCACACAAGTGCAGTTAGTAAAACTACCCTATCCTGGGAGACGATCCTGGTTATGACAGTCTTGCAGCCCATTCAGATGAAGGAGAGCCACTCATGTGACCCACCCAGTAGCCTAGGATGCCTATCACTGGTTTAGCCCATCCAGACAATGCTTTGCAGAGTTACTGTAGCAAGCCATGGGCAGCTTTATAAGGAAAGGTGGGTGAAAGTAATGTCTGTTGTCCAGTTTTGGTTTTGAAAGTAAAAACCAGCCCAAGGTTCGGTTTTAGATTCATGGCCTATAGAAAAAGGGAGAAAACTTTCTATGCTTTCTCTGTTCAACTGGGCTTGACTGACAAAAATCCCTCCCTTTACATAATCTTTCCCTGCTTTGACTGCAAGGGGAATAAAATCACAAAAAACTGCCATAACCCCATCCTGCATACTAAGCACATGCTGGGTCATGCAGCAAAACATTCTTCAACATTGCCAAAATACAAATGGGAACTAGATTTCTCCAACCTAGGCCAGGCCATAAGCTGAAGCAGTGCTGGGTGCCGAATGAGGAGGCTTCCAGGATGCTCTGCTCCCCCATTCTGCTGCATCAAGCAGATTTCCATGCAAGGGAATCTGGTACTAACTTTAACAAGCAGAGCATTGGAGAAGGGGGGGAAATTGCCCCGTCTTCTCATCCTCTCTATTTAGCCAAGCGGCTGCAGGTAGGGCAAAGGCAGCGTAATGGATCTCTAGGCAGGGGTAGGGTGAGAAGACACAGGTATCCCTTGCAAAAATGTGATTATAGATACTGCCTGTAAACAGAGTCTCAGAGAAACACAGCAAATAGACTGACTGTGGGCGGGTCAGGAGAAAGACAACAATGCTTCATTAGCTTTTGCTTATTAAGAATTTTTTTAAAGTAGAATGGTGAAAATTTCTACACAGGAGAGTACCTAATGGGAACACTGAATGCTGAATCCTTTTTTTGCATACAAAAGCAGAATCTCTTAGAGGAGACACATGTAACGCTAAAGAATTTCTTCGCTATGCTTGTGAAATCCAGCTGCTCTTTGTTTGCTCTGTACACATAGAGTTGAGGTCAGTGTTTTACCCCATCCTACTGTCCTTCACAGGTCAATAAGGCTGCCCATGCCAGCTATCACCACATCGCAGGTAGTAACACTGAGGAGATGCAGCCTCCACAGCTAGTGGGCACCTAGGGGTTGGGAATTTGCAGAACTCTGGCACAGCTCCTCCTATCATACCAGCCAATTATGGACAGCACAGATGTACTAGAGGAAAGACACAAAAACCATGCCTGTGTAATACTGACAGGCAGAACCAAACCTGGGACCTCTGACTCCGTGAGCCTCTACAGCTTGAGCTAAGTCAGCTGGCTCTCAGCTAATGCTGTAGAGCAAACTCATTTTCTCTTTCTCTGTAAGTGATCTAATTGCCACTACCTGAGACACTGAACCACATGTAGTAGATGTGTGGGTTGCACCAGGTATAGGGCTGGTGCATAGTACAGCCCACCAGTTTAGACATGGATTTATAGAGTATTTAGGAAAATTATTAATTATTGTTATTATTATTACTAGCGATAGTCAAATAGAAGTTGGTTAAATAATTTAATACAGATGATAGACTGGTATAGACATGTTTAAAAATAATATAGTTGTTCTAGTTGGCACATAAAACAGAATATAGAAGATTAGCTCAGATTTATTTTAAATAAAATCTAATGATAACTTGCCCTTGAAAAAAATTTTTCATGTGGCAAAGAACCCATATTACTGTATTTATATATAAAACTAATCATTTTAATCCCCTTTAGGATAACCACTTTTCAATTAAAAACAAACAAACTAAAAAGCCAGTTATAATCTACATCTATTTTTAAAGATTTTGTTTTAATTCTGTCAATAAATGAAGAGTTTTCTTTACCAGCCACAAAGTAAAAACACCAACCGAGACCAAACCTATGGTAGGGAAATGCGCAAAAGCATCATTGCAGCTAAGTGAAAAGTCAGGTCCTGAAAGTGACTGTGAAATGTTGGTGTTTTAGAGACACATCTTAAACACTGTCTGTCAAGAGTGGTTCCGAGTCTCAAGTAGGAAATCTTCCAGTCCTGAGGTTGTTGCAGCGTATCTCAAAGAATTCAAAGCAATTCATCCCCAGCTACTGAAGATGATCATAAACTTGGCGGATGGAAATGGAAACACAGCTCTTCATTACAGTGTTTCTCATTCAAACTTTCTGATTGTGAAACTTCTACTAGAGACAGGTGGGAACTAATGCTTTCTTGTGTGCGTGTGTTTTTTTCCTTGGTTGGGAGGGAAAGGTTGGTACTTGCAATTTTTTTCACATAATTACATCAAATGTCTTTTTCAGATTTAAAAAGTTGTTCATGGTTTTAGAGCCCAATCCTGGAAAACTTACTACCCACCATGTGGCTGAGCTAGCAACATTGAAGTCAGTGATTGTCTTTTCGTAGGCTTCAGTTGGGGTTGGATTGGGTCCATAGATCATGAGTGAGGAACCTTAGGTCCGGGGGTCAGATGCAGCCGCCAACCTTGCTTGGATCTGGCCCCCAAGGCTCAGGACTCCCTCCTAACATTGGGGAGCCCTTGCTGGTGCTCCAGCCTCTCCACTGCAGAGTGGGAGCGCACAAACTCTACCAGGCTCTGATGTGCAAGGGGAATGTGGGGAGCATCTTTCTCCTCAGTCAGGGGCCATGTCAGTGAGGGGTGGTTTTTTTGTTTGTTTTTGTTTCTCACTTGTGTGTGGCCCCCAAATGATTTTTCTGTGGGACAGTGGCCCCTGACCCAAAAAAATTTCCCAACCCTGCCCTAGATTTTTAAAGATATTTAGATGCCTGAAGATGCAGATAGACACCCAGTGGGGCTTTCAAAAGCATCTAGGCATTTAGCTCTCACTAAAACCCCACTCTATGTCTATCTGCATCTTCAGACACTTAAATACATTGAAATATTTGCCCCCCTATTGCTTATTTCAGTGGAGCTAGTCACAGGGTGTCCAGCACTTCATGTCTGCAAGAGCAGACCCTTTGATTCTAACAGTGGCCTCTAGCTCAGCAGCAAGAACTGCATTCTCAACTCTTGAACTTTCAGCTCATACTGCAAAGAATTAAACTTCCAGCTAAGATTTTATCAGATAAAATGCAGGCAGTTTCCAGACAGAATAAAGAAGCTTTTTGCCTTTCTTGGTTGGGAAGACAATCTGTTAAATGTTAGGGAAATGGCATATTATCATACATATCTATAAGCCAATTGTTTAACAAACTTCCCAGCACAACCCCAGAATATTGAGAGAAGTTTGTGCTAGTCTTTTAGAAAATACCCCAAGGCAACTAAGTTCAAAGGGGAATATTTAAATGTTTAGACACAGTCAACAAGAAGGCTGAGAATATAACAGCACGCCCGGGAACTCTAGGAGTGATGTATTTCTTGAATGAAATTAGCCTATTTGTTGTATACAAAATGAATGGAGACTTGTCAAGTGAATAAAAGGGTCAGAATTAGAATAGAACAGTTTGCATGCTGCCTCTATTTAGAGCAACTACTGAAACACATTTACTATGAATGTTCATTCCCATTTTGAAACAAATTTGTTCACACCCCAAAATAGGGTTACAAGATAGCAAGGCTGAGAAATTGGGATGGGGTGATAAGGTCTATGGGAATTGATAATAGGGTCCTATATAAGACAAAGCCCCTAATACTGGGACATCTGGTCCCCCTATACCAAAGCAACATGAAGGGTCCAGTTTAGCTCCCAATCAGATACCAAAACTGCTTAGTTTACAGACCAAAAAAAGATTTCCCCACTGCCTACCCTTACAAATTCAGCCTAAAACATCATGGCTGCATCTAGATTGGCATGATTTTCCAGAAATGCTTTTAACGGAAAAGTTTTCCGTTAAAAGCATTTTTGGAACAGAGTGTCTAGATTGGCACGGACGCTTTTCCGCAAAAAGTGCTTTTGCGGAAAAGCGTCCGTGCCAATCTAGACACTCTGTTCCAAAAATGCTTTTAACGGAAAACTTTTCCGTTAAAAGCATTTCTGGAAAATCATGCCAATCTAGATGCAGCCATGATGTTTTAGGCTGAATTTGTAAGGGTAGGCAGTGGGGAAATCTTTTTTTGGTCTGTAAACTAAGCAGTTTTGGTATCTGATTGGGAGCTAAACTGGACCCTTCATGTTGCTTTGGTATAGGGGGACCAGATGTCCCAGTATTAGGGGCTTTGTCTTATATAGGACCCTATTATCAATTCCCATAGACCTTATCAAGCAAGCTGTGGTCTTTCAGGTTAGCATTTCATGACTACCAATCTAGATCCATGGCTGGCAAGTTTCCTGAAGCTGTGCAAGCAAAGGGTCAGAATCCAGCCTGTTGTTCTATAGCTATATTTGCCCCGTAATGTTGACATTAGTAAAACTTAATTACAGGAGCAACCTAAGAAGATCAGATTTAGGATGCACACTGGGTAAAATTCATTCCTTTGCTATACCACTTAGGTCCTATTCTGAGAACTTAAACAAGGGTTCATAGATCTGAAACTGGCCTGTTGCACAAGGGCAAATTTCACCCATACAAAGCAAAACAATGATGGCATTAGGAGAGTGCCATTTTGTTCAAAATGCTTAGGAACAAAATTCCAAGTATCTGAGCAATATGTAACATCCAAGGACTCTGTATTTACAGCCAGCTTACTCAGACTTGAAATCATTTGGGCCCAGTTCCTTAAAGGTAATTAGGGACTTAATGCCAATTGAAATCAATAGAATATTTGCTTATTTTTTATTTTTTTTACTGGGAGCAGGAGCAGTTCCTAATTCACTCATGGCCTTGCCTCAAAACACAACTCCTTTGTTAGGCCACTGACCAAGCAATTGAATGAGAACTGAATGAGAACTGCTACAGTCATCTCTTAAATGTTAAGTAATACTCACATCTTTTCATATTTGATACTCTGCTTTTCTTAGAATCATAGAACTATAGAGCTGGAAGAGACCTCAGAAGGTCATCAAGTCCAGCCCCCTGCTCTAGGCAGGACCAATCCCAACTAAATCAACCCAGCCAGGGCTTTGTCAAGCCGAGACTTTAACACCTCTAGGGATAGAGACTCCACTACTTCCCTAGGTAACCCATTCCAGTGCTTCACTACCCTCCTAGTGAAATAGTTTTTCCTAATATCCAACTTGGACCTCTCCCACCTCAACTTGAGACTATTGCTCCTTGTTCTGCCATCTGTCACTACTGAGAACA